TGGCCTCGGGTTCTCTGATCAAAGCGAAGAAAAGCGTGTTTTAAAGAAATAGCTTGTTTTTTAGCCAACACTTATTTGAATAGTTTCTGATCCTATGATGCGAAGTCCGCGTGCGCCGGTCTCGACGGTGGGAAAACGTGTGTGAAATAACGTTCAGATCCGTCCGCTGCAAACTTTGGACGGCTCACCGGGGCAGGGTGCTTGGCCAGAGTGAGGTCTCACCGGTGTTCTTGCTCAGGCAGGGCGACTTGCGGACTAGCCCAGGCCTCACCCCTCACCACCCTGTGCGGGTTGGTTTCATCATCTCTCTCCGTCTAGACTGGGTGCTTCCTGGGGCCCGGGGCACCGGCTTGTTCATCCGTGAGTCCCGTCCCTGGTGACTGGATGGAGGATGAAATCAGTCTCTCGCGGCGGGTCTGGCATGGGATTTGATGATTTGAAGATCGAACGTTGACAGGGCGGGAAAGAGGACAAAGCCTCGTGTTGTAGTTGTGTTGCCTTGCGTAGCTGTCAGAGGGTTGAATCAGCCCCAGACAACGGAGATTAGAAAAAGGATGATTTGATCTGGAAAGGTTCGGCTGGTCACCTCAAGCACGGAGACCGGTGCGAGCACTGGGGCTCTTCCCTGACTCTCCTCTGCTGAGGCCCTGGCGGTTCCGGAGGGGACGGCGTGGGGAGGGGTAACGAGGCCCGAGAGAGGCTCAAAGTCTACCCCTCCCCAAGGGCAAGAAGCAGCAGCCTGGGGGGCTTGAGCGCGGAGAGCTGTAAGGGGTGCTGGGGTGTGGCGTGGGGCCCCCCGGGATGGCTTTGTGTCCCTGGAGAGGAGGGGTGCTCACAGCAGTGGTCCAGAGCGGCAGGTCTGGTGAGTCTGTGGTTCGGGTAGTCCCCTCCAGGCCCCTCTGAGCCTGCGGACAATGAGGCAGAGGACCCAGAGGGAGCCTCCTCTTGGGGGGGACGGCTAGCCCAGCCCACACCCCCACCCCCGTCCCCCCAAGTCTGTCTGTGCTGGCCAGAGGGGGAGGGGCAGCTGTGACTTGAATGTGAGGCTGGCGTTTGAGGTGGACCAGGATGGGGTCTTCATAAGTAAGATGTGGCTGTTGAAAGAATCAAAATGACTGAGTCTGGGGTCTCAGCTAGAGCCCACCGCCCAGCAGGGAAGGGGCTTCCCCAGGCGGGGCGCAGTCCTGGTGGTTATCGAGATGCAAATGAGACTGTCTAGAGGAAACCTCACCTCCTGGGTCGAGGGAGGCTTCCCCGCACAGACGCTAACTCTGCAGGCTCCTCCCCACCTGCTCTGTGTTCACTGTTTTCTACCTGCTGTGTATGTTCACTCTTGTCTTGTTTTTCCTCTATTTCTCTCCAATTCACTGTAAACCCCAAGAGACTGGGTTTTGTTTTGCTCAATCCTCCCAAAACCCCAGCGTGGCGTGCATGGCTGCCTCACAGGCATTCAGCTCAGAAACTGTTGAAGGAATGAGTGACCGTTTATCTGCGGGGAGTCGAGACTGCACTGGATGGGCCATATACCCACAGTGCTCTTGGAAGGACAGAGAGAACCTTGATGTTAGGAAAGGGGAACAGAGATTTGGGGGCCTCGGGGTCGTCAGGGCAGTGGGACATTTAACAGTCTGAAGAAATTGACACTGAAAAATTCACAGTATTTTCAGCTGGTGGTGGTGGAGAGGCCAGGGCTGCTCCTGAGTGAATGATGGGGGTTGGGGGTGGGGACAATAGGAAAGAAGTTTTTCCCAGGAAAGTGACTGGTGTGCCTTGCCGGCCACTGTGTTACCTTTGTTTTGACCTTCAGACCCCATTCTGCATCCTGCTTGGCCAGGGGGTGGGGAGGGGCCCTGTGTGTCCCAGAATCTGCTGTTAAGGACACAGGCTCCGAAGCCAGTTCCCCCACAGACCAGCTGAGGGACCTTCCTTTGCCTCCGTGTCCTTGTCTGTAACACGGGGTGGTGTTAGCAGCTTCCTCCTGGGGTGGCTGTGAGGACGAGATGGCCTTATAGCAAGGATGCTTGGAGCAGTGCCGGCACACAGCACAGGCACGTGAGGGCTTGCTGGTGTCTCGTGTACTGTGGAGATAGAAAGGGTCTCCCAAACCCCCATGTCTCCCTGCCTTCCCTGTGGGGCCCACCCCTCCCTGCCCCCCGAGACCCCCCAGCACGTGCTCCCCTCCCCGACATTCCAGGGCACAGGGTGAACCTTGGCTGTGCCTCCTTCAGCCCTCCCCTTCCTTGAGCCTGGGGCTGCTGGCCGTCAGAGATGGGCCAGCGGTGAGTCAGCCCACCCTGCCCCGCCCTCCAGCCCCCCCGCCGAGGAGGCTGGGAAGGCGCTAACGCCCACTTTCCATCAGTCCGTCAGTCTCTCCTGGGCAGTGGAGCCACGGTGACCCCAAGTCAACACACCTCTCTTCTGAGGAATGAAGTGCTCGCCTGGTTGGGGTCCCCAAACCTTACACCTGAATTACCGTCAACCCCACTGTGGGCCCAGGGCAGACTCTGTTGGCGACTGGACCTTGGGGTCCACTTTCCAGGCCTCATCTGTGTCTCCCACCCAACGCCTGCTGTAAAGTCCGTGCCCCCAGACCGGCCTGCTGTCTGTCTCTCTCACTCCCCTATTATTCTGCAGCCCAGCTCTGCTTCCTGGTCTCTTTCCACCCAGTGTCTTCCAGGAAGCCCTCCTGGAAGGGCTAGGACCTTGCTGCTCAGTGTGGTCCACAGGCCTGGCGCAGGAGCACCACCCGGGAGCTGGAGAAGCGGGGAGTCTGCATTCTCGCTGGGTCCCCAGGGGCCTGCGCACACATCACAGCTGGAGGATTCCACCCCTGACAAGATGGAGAGGCTGGGAATCCAGGCCGGCAGGTCCCGCAGACTGGGGATGGAGGGGAGGACGTTCCAAATGCTGTAAATAACGACGCGGACCTGCCCTGGCCCCAGCCTGAGTCTCCTGCCACAGCCGCCTGCCCACCAGCCTCTCGGGCTGGCTGAAGGTGGACACGCTGGCAGGCCTCCCGGGTCAGATGCGGTCAGTGGGACCGAGGTCTCTCCCAGGCCGTGCCGTCTGGTCCGCACTACCGTGTTGCGGGAGGGCCTCTGCCTGGGACCCTGGAGTCTCCCTTCAGCAGGGAGCTCAGGCAAACGGAGTGTGGCCCCGCAGCACTGGCCTCTGTCAGGAAGTGTCCTTCAGGGGGAGAAGTGGGGGTGGGGGTGGGGTGGGGGGCTCCGGAGACCCCTCCCTTCCTCTCTCTGCTACCACAGGCCTTAACGCTTCTGGGACTCCTGAGTAATGAACACGAACCATTCAACCTCCTTTAGCCCAGAGTTTCCACAACTTAGACCTCCTTTGTCACTTGGGACCTGTGAACATCCTGTGGGAAGGACTTTGGGAGATACCGACCTCACTAACACGCACACACACGCACCACGCGTGCACGCATGTGCGGACACACATGCACCAATAACGAAGACTTCCACGTGAGGCTCTCTGGTGCTGAGGTGCCATCTCTGGAGGTGGGAGCTGCTCCTGGAGGAACTTCCTTCCAGTGTCCTTCTGGACAGAGGCCGTGGGGTGCAGGCAGCGCCACCTCGCCCAGGGTCCGTGGGGCGGGGGTAGGATGTCCTCCCCAGCTTTTGTTTCAGGTCTCAGATGCCATTGTAGTCCCTCAACCACCCGCCGGGCCGGAGCTGTTCCCCCTGCGCAGGGAGCAGGCTGTCCCCGCCTCGATGCCTGCTGATGCCGGTTGTTGTGGAGAGTGGGTGTGTGCCCCCAGCCAGGCGAGGGGTGGAGTACAGGGCTTCTGCGGGAAAATCTGCTGTCTCGTCCACCAGGAGGGTGTGTGGCGGCAGCTGGGGAGGTTTCTAGGCACACCTGGCCTGGGCTCCCGCTGACACTGCGCTTAGAGGAGGTGGAACTGGCTGGGCCGGTCCGGACAGCCTGACTCACTGACTTTCGGGCCCCGCCTCCCTTCCGCCTCGGGCAGTGGGTGAGGAGCCAGGCGGGAGGGCGTGGGATCCGGCGCGGACTGTGGGCTCCTCCCCAGGCCTGGCCGGGAGCTGGGGCGGGCGGGGACCAAGCTTTGGGCTCACGGAGATCCTGGGGCCCCAGTGGCATTGTCGCCCGAAATAAAACTCACAACCGAAAAGCTGAGAGGTCTGCTTCATTCGGCAGACGTTCCTGAGGATTTAAGCCCGGGACGACACCTGTCAGATGGCTCTGAGGGACTGCTCCAAAGTGGCGGGGCGGAGGCCGGGATGTAGGCACGTTCACAGTGAAGACCAGGTGGTCGGAGCCTCGAAAGATGGCTGTTAATTGAAGAAAGCCAGACCCCTCGAGTTAAGAACTGAGCACTTTTCTATGTACGGGAAGGCGCAGAGGTCTGGGCTCACAGAAGTCATTCCCTGATCCGCACCTCCGCTCTCCAGGGCCAGTGTCCTGTGCGTTCCCATCCTGAGTCCCCTCAGGGGGCACCGCTGGGGGCGGCAGCAGAGGCCCGGCTGCCTGCTTGCCGCATCCTGAGTGCCCTCCGCCCTCTGCTGGGTGCGGGCCGTGGCTGATGACCTGGTGGCTGCAGCGCCCTCTGTTTGCTGATACAGCTGGCAATGTTTTCATTCACCGCACCCTGAGAATCGTGAGACCTGCATGGGGGCAGACCTGGACGGGACCCCAGATGCCCCCTCGGTTTAGCAGAAAGGAAACTGGTGGGGGACCTTCCCTCAGCCACACATGGACTCTGGCGGATCAGAGGTTCCCTGACAATTTTATTGAGACATCACTTCCTGTGACTTCTGGGCTGCTTCCCCAGCCTGAGTGGAATTCCCTGAGATTAAATCTGTCCCAAAGCCGGATCCCTCCATACGGGAGAATTCCATCTCCAAACGCCAACACGCACATGCTGTGTCCTCACTCCTTGTGACACCAGCTCCCCGTGGGGGCTGCAGAGTCCTGACCCCGCACCCCCACACCAGTCAAAACAGACCTCTGCCTGAGTTCCCAAGGAATGGATGCTCACAGATGCCAGCATGTGGTGATTCCTGGGCGGGGATGACACAGCAGACGGGACATGGATGCCCTGAAGCTGAGGTCATCCCTCTGTCCCACACCCCGTCCAGAGCTCTGGCTCTTAAGGGGGACGATGGCAGCTGGAGACGTGTGCAGAGTAGGGTGACGGGTCAGGCAGATGGGCACTGAACCGTGCCCCACAGGAAAGGGTGAAGAGACCGACGTGGTTCAGCCTGGGCGTGAGACACCTGGGGACGTGGGGTGGCTCGTCCTGGGGAAGAGGGATTGGCCCTGCTCTCCACAGCCCCGGGGAGAGGCCGGGGAAGGACTGTGGAGCCCGGAGCTGGAGCCCGCTCAGGGATGGCCTAGCAGTCAGGGCAGCTTCGAGTCATCTTCCCCGAGGGGCCTGGGGCTGGGGCTGGGGCTGCTGCTTGGCCAACTGGACCTTCAAGGGTCAGAAGTGGGTGGGAGGCCTGGGAGGGTTTAAGATCATTTCTGAGAGTCTGCGGCTCTAGACCCCGAGTCACCCTCAGCCCCAGTTATGTGCACGCTCTATGCCAGCCACATGCTGGGTTGAGAGAGGACACAGAATGCTTGTCCTGGTCCTGCCCCAGGGAGCTTCTTATCCTTGGAGGGAGGGAGGCGCGTGCACAGGTCAGCACCCAGGGGGCCTTGGCCCGGGGGCGAGCACGCAGTTCCCTACAAGGGGCAGAGGGAAGACAAGAGGGTCCTGGAGCCGGGGCGGGTGGCACAGCAAGTGGGAGGGGCAACCCAGGGGCAGTGAGGTTAAGTGGCACTTTGTGTCCGGGGAGATGCTGGCATGGTTGAAGTACCGGCAGGGCTGGGGGAGGGCAGGAGGCAGGGCAGGTGGGCTGGGGCCAGCCTGGTAGAGCCTGGTGGGACGGCCTGACTCCTAGCTGTGGAAAACTGGAGCCAGCTGATGCTGCTAGGCAGAGGGAGGGCAGAATCAGCGTAATTCTCAGTGATGGCTCTTGTGGCGGCAGACTCTGGAGGCAGAGAGGCCGGTGGGGGCCACACGGGTGGAGAGGCCAGCCAGGAGGCTTGATGGTGGCCCAGGGGAAGACAAGGCTGTTGGGTACTGGAATGACACGGCATCTTCCAGCTCAGGCCTTGGAGCCTGAATGGGAAAGGGAGTGCTAAAGAGGAGGCCAGAGTTTCCAGCTTGGGGACTGGGTGACTGGTGATTTCATTAACCTTCGTCTCTTGTTTCCCCAAAGCAGACAGTCCAAACCACGTGTGGCTCGGGCTGGCCGGGAGGACAGGATGGGGCGGCACCGAGGTCGGAGCGCTGCTGTGAGCGCTCCCCTGAGCGAGCAGCGGGCGGACACAGGGCCCTGGTCTTCCAGCAAAGATCCAGGCCCGCGCCCCAGCCCCCCGCACTCCTGCAGCCCATCCCAGCCCACAGCTCCCTCCCACCCTCTGCACCCCCCACCAGAGAGGCCCCTGCCCCGCCTGGGAGTTAGTGCAGCCACAGCCGGCCCCTGGGCCCACCGGCTGAGGGCTGCCGGCTCTGCAGTGTGGACCCCTCCCCGCTCTCCTCCTCACCTGGCTGAGGTCCGAGGCTCACCTGCTCACCCCGCCGCGTGGAGCCTGACTCTGCGCCCCTCCTGCCTCCCTGCCCTGCTGGCAGGGCCCCTGCTTAAACGCTCTCCACCTGCACCTGTGTGGGAGCAAAACGTGGGTGGAGAAAGCACGGGCCTGTGTTGACTGGCTCCCTTTGAATCCATGACCCCCAGGCTCAGGTGGGCTCCTAGTGCTGTCTGGTATTCCTGCTCTGTTTTGCTAATGGTTTAGTTTTCCTGTGTTCCTAGAAAGCTGTTTCGTGCCTTCGCCCCTCTTGCCGTCAGCTGACACGTGGGTGGTGATTGGGCATCTTATCTCACTGAGGCGCGAAAGCAAGTCGGAGAGACCCCAGCAAGCTCCCTCCGGCACATCTACCTGCCCACCTGCCCGCGTGGCCATGGGTGGCGTGTCCACAGCCCGCCCAGGCCAAGCCCCCCGCCGGGCGGTCCTGTCCTTTCCTGTCTGTTCAAGAACATCACTCCAGCAAGTCTCCCCCGGCCCTCGGACCATCAGTGTCTCCGCCTCGGCTCTAGTGTTCCCGTCAGCAGTGAAGCACGCTTTCTTCTTAGGAAACAGCCTCTCCTGGTGCCACGTCCATTTCTGGGAACCAGCCCCTCTCTCCTTCCTTTATGACAGAACTTCTCAGATTACTGTCAGTCCTGCTGGCTGTAACTCCATTTCTTCCCCTTTCTCTCTTTTTTAAAAACACCGTTATTATCGTATGATTTCTGTACAGTAAATACACGTATTTCTGATGTAATTAGATGAATTTGATGAAATTTGATGAATTTGATGAGTTTTGACAGAGGTACACACCCATGAAACCACCACCACAATCAGGGGAGCTGATGTTTCCATCACTCCCAAAGGGGGGCAAATTTCGAATTCCCAGTTTATCCCTTCCCACCCGCTTCCCCCCGGTAGCCATAACTTTGTTCTCTATGTCTGTGACTCTGTCTGTTTTGTAGGTCAGCTCATTTGTGTCCTTTTTTTCGGATTCCACATATTCATGATATATGTTTTTTTCACTCTTTCTGGCTTACTTCAGTTAGAATGGTCCAGGCCTTGCAGACACTGCCGCCGGCCCGGATCCTCCCGCAGTGCCCAGCCATGGTCAACCCCACTGTGTTCTTCGACATCGCTGTAGACGGCGAGCCCTTGGGCCATGTCTCCTTGGAGCTATTCGCAGACAAGTTTCCAAAGACAGCAGAAAACTTTCGTGCTCTGAGCACTGGGGAGAAAGGATTTGGTTATGAAGTTTCCTGCTTTCACAGAGTAATTCCGGGATTTATGTGCCAGGGTGGTGACTTCACATGCCACAGTGGCACTGGTGGCAAGTCCATCTATGGGGAGAAATTCGATGATGAGAATTTCATCCTGAAGCATACGGGTCCTGGCATCTTGTCCATGGCAAATGCAGGCCCCAACACAAACGGCTCCCAGTTTTTCATCTGCGCTGCCAAGACTGAGTGGTTGGATGGCAAGCATGTGGTCTTCGGCAAGGTGAAGGAAGGCATGAATGTTGTGGAAGCCATGGAGCGCCTTGGGTCCAGGCATGGCAAGACCAGCAAGAAGATCACCATTGCTGACTGTGGACGAATATGATAAATTTGACTTGTGTTTTATCTTAACCACCAGACCATTCCTTCTGTAGCTCAGGAGAGCATCCCTTCACCCCCATCTGCTCGAAATATCCTATAATCTTTGTGTTCTCACTGCAGTTCTTTGGGTTCCATATTTTCCTTGCCCACCACCAAGTTTAGCTGGATTGCAAAGTTAAGTTTATGATTATGAAATAAAAACTAAACAAACAAACAAACAAAAGAATGGTCCATCCATTATTTTATTATTTGTTATGGCTGCATAGTATTCCATTGTATAAATATACCACAGCTTCTTTATCCAGTCATCTGTGGATGGACATTTAGGTTGTTCCCATGTCTTGGCTGTTGTAAGTAGTGCTGCTGTGAACACAGGGGTGCATGTACCTTTTTGAATTAAGGTTCACTCTGTAGATGCCCAGGAGTGGGATTGCTGGATCATACGGAAAGTCTATTTTTAGTTTTTTAAGGACCCTCCATACTGTCCTCTGTAGTGGCTGCAGCATCTCCCCATTTCTCTTGAATCCACTCTGGTCAAGTTTCTGCTCCCTTCACGTGACCAGAGTTGCTCTTATCAGGCACCAGTGAACTTTCAGGTCACTAACTCTGGTGGTCAGACACCTCCGTTCCCAGGAATGGTGGGGACGTTCCCATCGGATCTTCCTGCCTGTGGAGAATAGCTTACCTTGCACAAGATGTGAACAGTAACAGCTCCCCGCAGGTACGCAAAGTGGCCCGAAGCAGCCAGAAACGAAGGGGGTGACGCTCAGAAGAGTAAAAGTGCACTGGGTAAGTTTTCTATTTTTTATGGCCTTTACCCAAGAGCAGGCTGGGGTGGGCTACACGCAGACTGCCTGAAACTCAGATCGAAGCTCACAGTGGTACTGGATTGAAGGACTAGAGGTGAGTTGGAGGCAGCTGGAAAGCGGAGGAGGGAGATGTTGAAGAGGGTCACCGAGAGCGTTCCTCAAAACCTGAATGGAAGCTCTGCCCAGATCTCAGGCTGACACCTCCACTGCGCGTCTGTGTAGGAGGCTCAGAACAGCCCAAGCAAAGCAGTGAAGCAGATGGAGGTTCCACCGCTGCCGCACAGCCCACGGACGCTCGGCTTTCCTCAAGAGGCAAACACACCCATCACAAAACTGCAGCCGCGGGGCCCTCTTAGCAGGAGGCGCGCCGAGCGGGAACAGCCGCAGGGGCCTTCCTGAGGCGGTGGCGCGCTCTGTGTTTTGCCAGTGGCCCGGGCGGCGGGGCGTGCGCTCTGGGTAAGATGTGCTGAATGGTGCACAAGCCTTGTGCATTTCACTTTTTTTTTTTTGCAACAGACTTCCTGCCAAGTCTTTTTATTGATGACATTTGAAAAACAAGTTACTTAAAATACTGCTAACGAACAGCATATTCTGTTTGCCTGTTTTTCCTTACGGTTAGACTGCGAATTACTGATTCAACTGTCTAAAAGCTCAAATAAACATGAGAGTTGGAAGCGGGTGGACATCCTTGTAAGGTACCACGCTGTCCTGCAGGATGCGCCTCTTCACACCAGCACCAGGACTACAGCGTTTCCCTTCGTCCTTTTTTTAAAAGTAAGACGTCTGGTAGCAATGGGGTTTTTATTTGTATTGTTAAAAACCAGTTTCCTCGCTCGGAGAATAGCTGGTATCTCAGACTGCGACTCAGCTTTCAAATAAGGACAGAAACAGAACACTGAATTCTGAGCCCAAGTAGCAAAGCCTCCTGAGAATGGCTTTTATAGGCACTGCTTGCTTCCAGTAAAAAACAAACAAGAAACTCCTACTTTTCCATCTACCTTTTAGTCGCTTGTACGTTTTGGCTGTCGGCAAAGCTTTTCTCCCTCATTAAACATTTACTGAGGTGTTAAGCTAGCTTAGTTTACCGAAGTAGCACTTTTTCTGTGGCACAGCTCAAAAGTCTGTCACCCTACGATGTGGTGCTTGCGTGAAGGAGGATGTTAACAGATGTCCACGGTGAAAGCAGTTAACGTGGCCTCTGTGAACGGCCGCTGCTCGGGGCACGGAGAAAGCGGAGGAGGGGAGGGAGGGGAGGAATGAAGCGCTGCGCGTGCAGGGCTCAAGTCTCCTTCCGCATCTCACGGCCCCCAGCCTCGGCTCACACAGCTGGTCCCTCCTGCGTCTGGTCACACTTTCCTCTAGGAGCCCCGCCTGCCCCCCCCCCGGTTGGTCCCATTCGCTTTGGCTGATCCTCCAGTTTCCAGCCTCGTCTCTCTTCTGTCTCCACGTGCTCCCTTGGTCTACTAGCTCTCAGATCTCCTCCCAAAGATACCTGGTGTCTGGCCCCAGTTCTTCCGGATGTTCTGGAGACTGTGGGGCGCTTGGCAGCCACCTGCCCCCCCCGAGCCCTGGTCACCGATGCAGGGGCCACGAGAAGGGTCCTTCCTGCTCACTCGTTCAGGGACAGTAACCTTTCCCAAGGCTGCTCTGCGCCCACACAGGCCCTCCAGTCAGGCACTTGGCTGTACGTGTGCGTCTGTGTGTGTGTCTGTTCCAGACTCTCATGTTTCGTCGAATCTTGGAAACGAGCTAAAGTAGAATTCCAGACAAGGAAATGTCTCTCTTGTCCGCTTCACCCCCTCCCTCCACCCTCTAGTCCTTCCTCCTTCCTTCCCCATTCACTTAGAAGGTGAACAACCAGGCTCTTCTCTCTGGCTGGCTGCCTGCGTCCAGTGCAGACAGAGGTGAGGGGCTGGCAGGACAAGCGGGGAGGTGAGTGCTGGGCTGGGCTCCGCAGGGCCTGTGGGGACCCCGAGGGGTGCACCCAGCCCGGGTGGGGGGTAGGCAGGACAGTGGCAGCCGCAGGTGAGGGCAGCGTTGGAGGAGGGCCTGGCTCTGCTGCTGGAGCTGCTGTGTGACCCTGAGCAAGTGACTGCTCCTCTCTGGGTCAGTTTCCTAACCTGCAAAATGAGGGAGTTGGACTAACCCAGAGGTTTCCCAGCAGCTCGTGGGAGCCAGATTCTGGGGCCCCATTGGGCCCACTGCCCCTTTCGCACAGCTGGCTTCCTTCTTGCTGGTCTGGGTGTCGGCCCGCCCTGAGGTGCTGCCCGGGGACATTAGCGCTCCGATGAGCCGGCGGCAGTGTCTGCAGGGTGCCCAGTTAGGCTGGGGGACGCCTGTTGGGGGTCACTGAGCATGCTTCGCCCTGTGGCCCTGGTCTCATTAGCCCCATATTCTAACCACCAACTCGGTGGCCCAGATGGGATGAGGCTCAGGACTTCCACATCTGATGCTCCACGAGTCTGAACTCTCTCTTCATCCACCCGTCTGCCCCGCAGCCCAGCGCACCCGACGTGCGGTCCTAGTGGGCCCTGGGCAGCAGGGGCTTCTGAGGCACCAGAGGTCGAACGAGGCCCAGCACAGCCCTCAAGTCAGGCCCGCCCTACCCTGTCCTCAGCTCCGGGGAGCTGCCCAGAGTGCTTGGGCTGGCCCCGAGGAGGCCGGGTTCTGCCCCGGGGTTGCCACAGACACGCCGCGTGACCCTGGGCGAGTCTCCGTGGGCCTCGGTTTCCTCATCTGTGAACTGCACTTAGAGCCCTGAGCTCTGCCTGTCTTGCTGGGTGAAGTGAACAACAGCATGGACCGTGGACACCTAAGGCTTGGACCAGTAACAGGGCTGTTTGGCGGCCCCTCCAGCAGAAAGACTGATTAATAACGTCTGCTTGCTCCTCCTCCGGCCGTGAGGTGAGGCCTGAAGGCTACTGTGTCTCCAGGGTAGCCTGGACTCCAGGGGGAGCCAGGTCGTGGGCTGGGTCAGGCGTGAAGGGGCCAGAAGACACAGCTTCACGGCTCAGCATGGAGGGGCTGTGGGCCGCCGGGGCGTGGCGTCCGGGAGACGCAGCCGCGGGATCGGGAGACCCCCCCTTGCAGTCCGGGTTTCCAGTGGCTCCTGGCACCCCCACTTCCTCAGCAAGTGTTCTGGGGGTCCAGAGGGCTTGCCACCCTCTTGGCCAAAGATGGCTGGACTGTCCCTTTGTCACTCCTACCGTTAAGTGCACCCGCTTCCTGCATAAAACCGTTTCTTCACCAGGAGTTACACTTCCCCGGGGATCACATCGCCCCTGGGGACTAACGGGCGGCGAGACAACAAATCCACACGTGGTTTCCGGTCACCTTCTGTTCCCAGTCTGGGGACCGTGATCCGCAGAGCTGCCCACACCCGGGGCGTGTGCGTTCCTGTGTTCCTGACAACTTACCGAGGAGACGCATGTTGATTTTGAATCTGTAGTTTGATCTCACATTTTGGAGCCAATACACACTTTCAGGAGGCCCCAGACCTAGTGTATTAACAATCTGGGCTGCAGGCAGGCGGTCTCCCTCCCTTGGGCCGAGGCTCAGCCTTCCTCCCTGGCCTCCCTGACCATCACCCTCTGAGAAGTGACCAGGAGGTCAGGGACATGGGATCGAGAGAGAGGTCACTGTCCTCCCAGGCTGGGAAGGGTCATCTCCAGCCTTCCCTAAGTATTTCCAGCCTCCTCCGGGCAGTGCCCACAGCTGTCCATCCATCCAGGCCACACTTGGAGGTTACTACCCCCGTGTCTTAGAAAGTTCCATGTGCCGTCTTGTTTCTTATGGGCCTCTTGAGGTGGGGGCCCCCACATCCTTGGCTTTTGTGAGCTCTAGCCCGTCCCGCAGGACCCGGGGAGAAAACGCACCCAGCAGACGCAAGCTCCTTTGCAGCTCTGGAGATAGCAAGCCGCCAGGTGCCTGCCCGGGAGTGTTCCCCTGGGGCGCCTTTCCCTTTGCAAGCCGTGTGACATCGGGTGCATCTGTCCCCTCCCTAAGCCCCACGTCATTTATGTGTAACATGAGGGCAGCACCACAGCGTCCCCTGCCCGGTGCTGCCCTTGGTCTGCGCCGGGCGCAGGGCCAATGAGAGGAGACCCTGGAAGGAGGGGAGCAGCCCCGTCCGTCCTCAGCGGCTCCCCAAATAATCCACTGCTTGAAATTGTTCAAAGAAACGCCAGCAATTTATTGATTTCCTGTATTTCCAAAAAAGCAAACACATAGTGTATCCCCCAGGGAAACTGGGCCCAGCCAGCCCACGGTT